ATGCGCCGGACTGCGACGGCCCGCCGCCGCCGCCGCCGCCACCGTTGGCGCCGGCTGCCGCGGAAATGCCTGCCGGATTGAATGTCAGCTCCAGTACGGCAGAGATGCGGTGGCCTGTACGACCGGGCGAGTCGGCGCCTCCGCCACCCCCTCCCCCTCCTCCAGAGGACCCCGCCCGCTCCAGCTGCTGCTGAGCTGGCGCCACGGCGAGCTGGGCGGCCTTCCTCACCGGGGGGGGGAGGGGGAAGAGGGTAACACGGCGGCGGGTCACGGCCAGGAAAACACAATGGCAATGACAGTGCAGTCAGGCGACAGGTAATTGTACGACGAAGTATAAAACACACAGCACGGCACGGTGTTCCCCCTCCTTCCCCCATCTCGCCCTCCCTCCTCCCCTCCCGGGCCTGTGCTGTGCCAGCCGCCTGTCATGTTTCAAGATCCCACCGACGCAACCCGTACGACACACACACACACACACTAACCCCCATGTCAATACCCCCACCCACCAGAGCTCCCCCCGAGGAGCTGAGGAAGGGAGACGCCGCCAACGCCGCCGCCGTCGCCGCCGGACTACCCAGCGGCGGCAGGGTGGGCAAGGACGGCGCGGGCGATAGCAGAGCCGAGGCGGTCGTGGTAGTGCTGCTAGCGGGAGACAGCATCACACCGCCAGACATGCCGCTCAAGGTGCGGTAGGCGCCGACGGCGCCGCTGCCGCCGCCGCCAGGCGGCGGCAGAGGCGGCGGCAGCGTCCCGGAGGTGGCGCCGCCGTCGTCCGTCTGCCGGCCTGAGGAGCTTCGGCCGGCAAAGCTGCCGCCGCCAGTGAGCAGTAGCGTACGGGAGGAGTTGCTGCGAAGGTACGGCAACTGTGCGGGATAGGGAGTGTGACGGACGACGGGGGGAGGGGTGGGAGAGGGTGTGAGAACGGTATGGCGCGGGTGTATGAGAGTGGTTGGTGTGTGGGTGTATCTCTTTTAACAGGTAGATACACAAGTGTCGATGTTCGTGCCGTACGCGAACCTGGATCTCGATCGCAGTGCCAATCGCTTTAACCCTTCAAGCTGCCGTACACAAGTCCCGCGCCATTCTCCCCCTCTCCCCCCTCACAAGCATCCGTAGGTCCAGTCCCCCCTTTCCCCCCCCTCCTGTCAGCACCCCGTCCCCCCCTTCCCCGGCTCCCACCGTGTTTCCGCCGTACTGCTCCGCCGCAGTGACGTTGGAAGGGTACGGCAGCGTGCCCCACGCGGGTAGTCGGGCGGTGAGGGTGGTGAAGGCCAGAGGCAGCTGCAGCTGGGGGCCGGAGACCGGGGCCGGCCAGCGACACACCTCCTCGTACACCTGTACAACAGGGGGGTTGGGGGGTTTGTGCACACACATACACATGCGCGTGGGGGGGGGGAGAGGGACAGGCGAGAACTGCCAACTAACACTCCTGGGAGCAAACCCACCTCCGGACTCGGGAAGAGCCTAAAACGAAAAGCAAAAAAACCTAGATGTCCCCCTCAACCTTCCCCCCTCTCCCCCGCCTCCCCTCGTCCGGGATGTTCCTCGTCTTGTGCCGTACATCTGGGTCAGGTGGTTTCTTCTTGAGGGGCTCAGTTCCCTCCGTAGCTCCGAAACCCCCACCCCCACCCCCCCCTGCCACATCTTCCCTTACTCTGCTCGGGACACGACTCGTGTTGCTAACGTCCTCACGGCCATCACGTCATCATGCACCAGCTGATGATCTGCGTAACGCACAACCCTTCCCCAAACCATCCTTTGGCAGCTTCCCCCCCCCGCCTTTCCCCGCCTCCCCGGCCCCACCCTCAAAAGGGGACGAAGCGCGACACACGAAACACGAAACACGAAACACATAAACACAACACCCCCACCTCACAAGGTACATATTAAACCCCCAACCCTAAACACATTCTCTTTTCACACGCACACACACACGCACACACACACACACGCACACACGTGTATACACATACAGACGCACACACCTGCAGCAGCGGCCCCCTGCCCGGGCTGCCAAAGTACCGGTGTCCCGCTACCGCCGCCAGAGGCTGCAGCGCCGCGGACAGGGGGTGCTCCGCCAGCACCACCACGCTCATCTGCTCGCCACCCCGCCGCAGTGAGGCGTCCTGGCGTTGACGACAAAACACAAAGCTGAGGTCCCACACGGGGAGGCGGTGGTGGGGGGGGGAGACGAACCACGAGCCGAGGGGGGGAAGGGGCCGGGCGGGAGGGGGGAGGGGAGATCATACGCGGGAAAATCAGAAATAAACTGCCACTGCGTCCTCACAGTCCGAAACTGCCCCCCGTGAGTCCTACGCGATGAAGTCATCAGCCCCGAGGGGCGGGGGGGGAGAGCAGGTGCGTATTCGCAAGCAGCACAGGGGCGGGGGCGGGGGTTGTGGAGGGGCGTGTGAGGGCCAAGTTGGGCTACGGAGGGGCTGCGCGCACGGACATGAGAAACCATGGGGGACCGTGATAACGAGAGGGGTTCTACTTCGCCTTCGCCAGCAGGACCCGCACATCGCACGGAGGGGGCCCTCCTGGAGTGGGGGGGACAATCACGCGGCCTAGCGCCTAGCGCCTATCGGAGGCCTTTCGGAGGTTAACGAAACTCAGTCTCTACATAAAGTGGGTGCTGCCCTCCCCCCCCCGGGGTGCCCTCTCCCGGGGGCCGCTCAGTCGGGAACCTCCCTGCAATACTCTGTTGACCCAGCCGTGCCGTGCTAAACCGCCTTATTCTCTCCTCCCCTGTTGGGGAGTCCGTTTCTTCTCACCCACCCGTACAGAAACTTCTCCTCGTTAGGGTGATCGCCACTCCCGCCGCTGCTGCCAGGCTGCTCGTCCTGGACGACATAGCCGTTGCCATTCGCAGGCACGGCTGCCGGTGCGGCGGCATCGGCATCGGCATCGGCATCGGCAGCAGCAGTAGCCGCTTGCGGCCCTGGGGCTGCGGGCCCGTCTGCGCCGCCACTGTTGCCGCTGCCGCCCTCGTCAGGGTTGGCCCCCGCCGCCGCCCCCGTCGTTGATGGCGCTGCTGAAGCTGAGGGACCTTTCCGCGTCAGGCTGCCTCGCCGCCTTATCCGGAAGAAGAAGGTACTGCACAATGCGGGGAGGAGAGGATGTGGCCGCGATGTGGGTCGCGATGTGGGTCGGGGAAAGCGGCGCGCGGGGATGGGTTTGTGTGTGTGTGTGTGTGTGTGTGTATGCGTGTGTGTGTTGTGGGGGAGATTTCGTAGGTGTTGGCAACTCCCATGACATGACATAGAAGCAACACGGAGTTGGAGCCTCAGACAGAAGTTCACAACGAAGAGGGGTATTGCGCCGTAAAGCTTTGGAGTTAGGACAGCAGGCCCTCACATCAGGGCCCCAGGGCCCCAAGGACATTATTATGGGATCCGGAGAGATGCCCAGTCAAAGGGTGGTTGAGGGCAGGGAGGGACGGTAGAAAGTTTACGGAGTGGTTGGACTGGGAGCTTTTTCTCCCCCAGGGAAGGTAATATGTGCCAACTCACAACCGGGCCAAATTTTACTTCGCGCAGTAGCCTCAAAGGTGTACGCACCTGTCCTTTATGGAAGTTCGAGCATGCAGCTCCATAGACATCGAGTCCTGGGCGTCGCGGCGGTATTGATGCCGTCAGTACCGTCACGAAAATGGTCGCAGAAAGTCATGAAAGGGGAATGCTTACCGGGAATGAATGGAATGCCACATCGTGCTGCTCCTCTTTTGAGAGACATGCCTCGGGGACAAGGTGCTCTATGCGCTGCCCCACATCGATGTCGAATACGACCGAACAGATGCCCACGATCCACTGCTGAGAGGGTGCTAACAACGACATCCTACTGGTTTAGAAGGCTCTGAGACCGTTGTGTCAAGCTCCGTGCGCCTTCGTGCAATTGCGTTTTCCGCCTGCAAGGCTCCGTTGTTTTGGACTTAGTGCACAAAAAGGGTCCGCCAGAAAAAGACTGGCTACGATTTCCTATGTACTATCCCCTGATAACTTGAAAAGAAAGGACAAAAAGAGCAGTAACTGTTATGGATAAATCGCTCCCATATAAACTACAGCTTTGCAAGAGCTACAAGCTCTTAGAATCCCGAAATGCATGTTCGTTTAGTAAAGCATGCTGCCCTGTTGCGCCTGCAGTCTTCACTGCAACGGTATGACCAACGGAAACAATTGTCCAAATTAGGCGTGCATTATGATACAAATGCACTACCGCCCGTATCACAGCGATCCATGCATTATTTACATTATGCCTGCCTAACAAAGCGAGGAGCTGGCCCCACAAGGCCCTCGGCAGAAGCGCGAGAGGAGCTCCTCATTTCCGCTTTCCTTTCAGTAATGAATGTATACATTTCTAATATAAAACCCTGTGGTACGAGGCCGCTGAACGTCTGGGCTGAACCTTGACTGTACAGAAACTTCGGTGACACTGTTGTGCTGCATGCCATGCTGTCTCTTTTAATTACTTATTTTCGTTTAGACTCACATAAATCAGACCAATTATTGCGTAAGCTTTTGGCATTGCACTTGTTCTTGGATTGCGCTGGAACACAAATCCCTCTTTCTTGCGCGTCCCTTCTTCATGTATGCGCATTGAACAATTTCCATCAAGCATTTGGAGGCCATAGATTTGACACGTGAAGGCCACGAGCAGCATATCAAACGTCGAGGGCTCGACTGATCGACAGATCGAGGCACTTGGTGGTTATGGCGCCCGTTAATCGGTTAGAACACAATCTATCAACTATGTACCTCACCTATCGGCTCACGAATTGAAAGTTTCATATGACGTCCGCAACATGATCTATAGATTGGGTACCTATGAACGAGCCCAATTTTGCAGGAGCAATATGGCTGCTGTTCACGGATGACCGGCCCAGGAGGCGATTTCCTTGATGGTGTAGTATTTTGGAAATCTGTTAGCATGGTTATGGAAGGTTTATGATTTTAATGTAGTATTGTGAAATTGCAGTGCATTCGGGCCTGTAGGCGGGCCGTATCCTGGCAGTTCTATGACGCGGCCTGTGGTCAAGATAGGGCCGGCCATCCGTGAACAGCACATAATGTCAGGCAGAGAATTTACTTTTGTTCTATTTTGTAGGGCCTCTAGTACAAGCGGGCCGAATAATGTCATAAATAGTGTTCACGGTGAGCATGCATGAGCCATCGTTCTGACCGGATTTCCACCAGCCGGCCTACGACCTTCTGCTTGAGATAAACTACCAGAAAGAGCTTGCAGCGACCCAGGGTTTGTTGTCGCGAAGCATTCGTTTAGGTCTTACGGTGTTAGGCCGCACCACACTATGTCAACAAGTAAGTGACTCCAAAGTCACTTGTTCGCCCGCTTTCAAATTCCTGAGGTCCTTGGCCTGACCGTCAATGTATGGTATTGCTAGCCTTTTATCTTTTATCCACCGGCAAGGAAGAAGGGCAGTTTGCCCACGAGTTGCGCATAATCTCGGTACGATCGATGCATGCCTCTGCCGCAATCTGTGAAGCAACGCGCGATGCTTAGAGTTATACTACGGACCGGACAAGCCCTTCGATACTTGCACGGACGAGCTCCATTTCGCGGGCAGGGAGCTATGTACGTCCCGATGCACTAGGATGCACAAGCTCAAGCTGCAGGGACTCCTAAGCAAAATGGAAATGAAGAAGAAAGATGTTTTGGAGTTGGAAATAAATGGCGGAGGTGAAGCACGGAGAGAGTACCACCGGAACACACACACACACACACACACACACACACACACACACACACACACACACACACACACACACACACACACACACACACACACACACACACACACACACAGGGCACACGAGGGGCCCACACGGTAGCCCTAGGTAACCGAAGTTGTCTTTCTACCGCGGCGGTGTTTCATGGTTGGGAACCATACTGGTCATGTGTACTGCTTGCTCAAGTGAACATTCAGGGTCTCAAATGTGAGATATCCAGAAGGCCGAATTACTATATGTTGTGTGGACATTGCTGGGAAGCATGAGCCATCGTTCCTGACCGGACCTCCACCGGCCTGCCTAAGATAAGAGCGCTGGTCGAGATGATATATGCATTTTGTGCGTAGTTTGACTGGCCACTGGAACAGTTGTGTGCGAGCGCAGTAAAGTATCAGTACCGGTAGTTTGGAGGTTATATGATCCTATTCATGAGCAGATCAGGCTCGACTAGAACGTACAAGCTCGTGAAGCTTGTAGCCATCAAGCCAGTAGTTAACATATCGGTAACTCTCATACATATAAGTGAAATCTTATCGGATTGCATTTATTGGCGATGATGTCCTGCGATGTGCTCTCTTTGGTGTTCGCAGTCTGATTTCGGATCGAGCTGCTGCTGTACAACGCATTAACGGTCGACACGGTTAGCGGCGCATCGGCTGGATACGAGGGAGGTTTTGGGCGCGGATGTGTCGTTACACATTATCGGCTTTCTCCACATCATCGCACTTTAGCCGTTACGGCACACAGACTGGACAGCACTGAACAACTTTGCCGACGGCTTATAGGCAACCGACAGACGGCCAATGCTAAGAAATTAATTCCTCATACACAATTTGTAAGGAAAGCATTGGCACGATAGATTAACTCGGTCTTATTTTTAAACTGACTTGCGATTTGCGACATAGCCTGAAAAGACGAGACATAACAAGCACGCGTTACCAAGCGAAAGGCCACCTTGAAGATATGTAAACCCACTCAACACGGAAAAGCTCTTGGTGCCGCCATGGACCCTAGGTTCGTGCATCGCTTGCGACACCTGCTGCTGTACCATCCTGACGGCCTACAGCTCAATCGCATTGAGGAAGAATGGAAAGCTTGCTACCAAAGTCCATTGGTGCCGTCTCATCACGGCCACACTTCAGTCTACGATTTGGTGCAATCAGCAACCACCGCAGCCCGCATGGAGGCGTGGAACGGAGAATGGCGCTGGAAGGCCACCTTAAACGCCGCGGGTGCCGAAGAGCTCGTAGAGTTTGTTAGGACTGAGATCCTGGAGTCCGATGTTAGCGCTGCTGTAGCAGGCGCCCATCTGGGTCAGCAGAACCGCATCTCCCGTTACGTGTCGTACCAACGCGTCAAGGACTGGCTTCAAAACTTCTACCTTGCAGGCCGGTAAGATTGCTGATTGTATAACCTTTGAGCGGGATATCCTGAGCGTTTTCCGAGCTTCGCTTCTCCCGGTTCTATCCCTCCCTCGGAATGCCACGGGCGGTTTCTTTTCCCCCTCCCCCAAACCGACACACATGCACGCACGCATCGATCCACTCATCCAATCCCCTCGATACACACAACACACACAGACACACAGACAGACACACCCCGCACCGCCACTACCACTTGCTCTCCACCTCCGTTCCCCCTCCCCAGGACGTTCGAGTCACTTGGGTTGCACCCGCCCCGCAATCTGGCCAATCTGATGCACCTGGATCGCCGAGTGAGCGCCAACATCACAGCGTACTGCGCGGCAAGGTGCGCCCGGGGGCTGGATGGATGGATGGATGGATGGATGGGTGGTGCGAGTTTACTGATGAACCGCGATGTGGCTCGAGTTTTTATCCTTGCGCAGGGGCCATGCTAATATTTATTTTATATTATGTATAACACATATATATATGTATATGTGTTATACATATATGTGTTATACATATATGTGTTATACATATATATATATATATATATATGTTATATATATATATATATTATATGAATATTGTATTATATTGTATTTATTATATTTAATTATATTATTATTTTTGTTTATATTATATTATATCTGTGTATATGTGTTGCAGGTCAGCTGTTCGCGAAAAAGTGCACCGTACGTACAAAGGAAAGTGGCCATTCCATCAGAAAGGTGCCAGATAGTCCCGAATCCCGCTCCTATGTCGCCCCTCCCTTCCCCCCTTCCCCCCTCCGCCCTGCGCCCTGACGCGTACGTGTCGTGGGCGGCCTTAGGTGTGTGGTGACGCTGTGGGAGCTGGAGCAGCACCTCAGCCAGGTGGAGGTGGTGGACAGCTACGAGGCGCTGCGGCTGGGGCCGCTAGTGGACCACCCCGACGTGCGCAGGGTATTCTTCCCCGCCGACTTCCCTCCGGGCCTGCAGCAGGCAGTGTCTAAGTGGCGGGGAAAACAGCACCCGCAGCTCAAGGCGCGGGACGGCTGGGGCCGCGAACAGGAGCCGGAACCGCCGCCGCAGCCAACGGGACCCTTTCCTGCCGTTACAGCGTACGACGTGGCGGCTGCCGTACGGCAGCAGCTTGCTTTGCAGGGCGTGGAGGAGTGTCGACGTGCCGCCGCGGCGGGGGCTGCCACGCCGCAAGGTGCAGTCCTGCTTGCCGGCGTGCTGGGATCCGTCGCGGCGGCGGCGAGGGTGTGTACGGCAGCGGGAGACTGGCCACCTGCTCGTGAGGCGCCGGAACTGTGTGCTTGGTTGATGGCGCGGCAGTTGGGAGTTGTGGTCAACGACTTGCTGCTGTACGTCAACATTGCCACGATTGCCATTCAGGACGAGCAGGTAGCGGCGCTGCGCGCCGCAGCTGACGTGTCACGACGGCCGCCTACGGCGGTGGCCGCGGCAGCCGCGCCGCCGCCACCGCCGCCACCGCCGCCGCCGCCGCTGCCGCCGCAGCAGCATCAACGGGGGTTCCACCACCAGCAGCAGGCGATGGCGCTGTTAGCGGGCACTGCGGGGCAGCGACGGCCGCCGCTGCCCCTGGATAATGCGGTCTACTACTTCATGGTTTCGAAGCGGCAAATGGAAACGGGTCGTCGGGAGCAAGTGGTGAGGCCGCCACCGCGTGCGTGTCGCACGTGTGTGTGCGTGTGTGTGTATGCCCTCAGCTCGCACACCCTCACTCACACTCTTTCATCACCCCGTCCCCCCCCCCCACTTCAACAGTGCCTTGGCAGTACCTTGTTTCTTGCAAATAATTCCCCTCCGCCCATACATACATACATACATACATACATACATACATACATATATATATACTTACATACATACACACATACATACATATATACAGACAGACATACACGCATATGTATACTTACATACATACACACATATATACGCAGGTTACGAACCCTCGGCGGCACGACCAGCAGCAGCTTCACTTCTCTCGGAAGGTCACTGAGGCCCTAGCTGCTTTGCGGGGGGAGGGGCGGGAGGCAGCAGCGGGGGCAGGGACAGAGGAGGAGGAGGAGGATGCCGACGAGGACGAGGACGGGGAGGAGGAGGACGACGAGGAGGAGGGCGATGACGCGGATTCAGCAGGGGAGGAGGATTCGGAGGAGGCGGAGGAGGGACCAGGGCTCGCTGCCTCCGCCGCCGGTGCTGTTGCGCGGCGTGTCCATGTGGGGCTACCCAAAAATGATATCCTGATCAGGAAACACCTGCGCAAGGTGACCAGGTGGCTGTTTTCGCCCGCGGGGATTTGCCCCGCTGGATGTTGGTGGCTGGTGGGGTGGGCGCCCCTGGCGATTCTGGGGCCTCTGACTTTCCTCATTTTGGAGTTTCATTGCATTGCAAGAAGTTTTCGTGTGGGGAGTGTGTGGGGGAGCGGGGGGGAAGGAGCTGTTCTTGTTGCACCTGTGTACTTGCGGGGCTGGGCTGGAAGTGCGCGGCGTCGTGGGGTCCTTCCTTACAATCCTAGTAACACCCTGCCCCTATCCCTTACCCCCTATCCCTGGTGTGAAGAGGTCAGGGGACCGGGGGAGCTTTCATTGGTGGTCGGGAGGGGGTGGGCGGGTAAAGGTGGGGGGAAATACCCCGGGGGGAAAGAGGGGGAAGACCTGCTGGTGTGGAAATCAGTGGGCCCTGCCTGAACACCGCCGCGTGCACTACCCCACCCACTGCTAGGGCCACACATACTTACAGACAGATAGACAGACAGACTAATTACTTACATGCTTACTTACATATATCCCCCCCTCCGCTCCCCCATACACACACAGTCATACGGCCTGCGCGAAGACTTTGGATGGCCGCAGCTGCAGGTATGTATTTATGTATGTATGTATTGCGTATGTTTCGTGGTTGTGTCGTACCGAGGGTATCATCACTCCCCTGGGGGTGTGTCCGTGGGTCTCCAAAGGGAGTAGTGCGGCCAGCTAAGGAGGAGGAGAGCGGGGATCCGCAGGCTCATTGAAGAGATGCGAGGGGGGGGGGCTGCGACATACAGACATACTGCTAGACACGCACTGGGCTTGGGGACGAACGTTTGTCGTACTGTTGCATGTGTTGCTTACCTGGGCAGCTTCAGAGCCAGTGCTGCTGCTGCTGCTGCTGTAGCTGTAGCTTCTGAGCTCACTGTTTCGAGTCAGGAGTCAGGCAACTCTTGGGACTTCCGCATGGTGCCGTCTGTCGCCTCGGCCACCGCAACTGCTGCAACTGCCTGCCGTACCCACGTGGCTTCCGCAACTCCCCCCGCATCACTGCTTGCGGCTGGGTCGTGTCTGAGCCCTGTCCGTGCACGCGGTTGGTCATCGCCGTCGGGCCACCCCCCCCAACCCTCCCCCCACCAGACGGCCCTGCAAGAGCTGGTGCGGGAGGCGCTCAGCGGGCCGAGGAGGGGGTCGCAGTTCTTCGATGACGCGGCGGCTCACATCGCCACAAAGTGGTTATGTGAGTGAGTGAGTGTGTGTGTGTGTGTACGCAGTGCCTGTCGGTGCTCAAGGGGGGAGGAAAGGAGGGAAGAGAGGGGGGGAGGGAGGGAGGGAGGGGGAAGGAAAGGGTGTTGAGTAAAAGCAGGAAGTGGTTCCCTACCCCCCTTGGCTCTCTGTCGTCTGCGGAGGGGTCACCCCCATGGGCAGGGGGAAGCCATTCGGTTTTCGATGTCTTCGCTTCGCCCTCGGAGAGCCCCTTCACATGTGGGGCCATCCTTAGGGTTCCATTGTACGGCGGAGTGGCCAGCAGGCGACTGTACGGCCAGCAGTGGCGGCTCCGAAACCCTACAGGGAGGGGTGGGGGAAGGGAAGGCAGGGTGGTTTGTTCCGTGCGACCCTTCTGTTGAGCAGACGTCCATTCTTGGTGGTGGAGGGGGCGGAGGGCGGCGGGCGTATGGGCCCGACACCAGAGAGAGCTCGTTGCCGAGAAAGGAAAGTAGGCCCCTCCTTCCGTTGGTTGTCAAAGTGATGAGGAGCCTCGCTCTCCGTACTCCCCTATCGTTTGCCTCCATCCCTCTCTCCCACGGCTGTACGGACGGCTGTACGGACGGCTGCACGGACGGCGGTTTGTACCGCAGTGCCGCTGGCGCAGGCCAAGGCCGCCGCCGGGAACACGAAATGGCTGCAGACGCTTGCGGGTTCCGGAGCCAGCTCCCTCCACCACCACCACCATCAGAAGCAGCAGCAGCAGCAGCAACTCCCGAAGCGAGTCCAGCGGGAGACGGAGGCCGCCGTGTCCAAGCTGGCGGGACACGATGTCTTTAAGATGTTGCTGCGTGCCGTACACGCCGCCATGCGGGGTCGGCTGCGTGTACATGAAACCCAGATGGCGGCATTTCGCGAATGGGCGGGAGGGGGGCGGGAGGGGGCACCGGGCACCGGCACCGGCAGCAGCGGGGCCGGGACCCGGACGGGGGCCCTGACGTCACCTTCCCCGCCCCCGGGTGCTGGCGCTGGCGCCACCGCCACCACCACCGCCACCACCGCCACCCGTAGCTCGGAGCCCGTGCAGGATTACTTGGAGATGTTGGTCGCCATGCCGTACCCCACCATCGCGCATCAGGCCAAGTTGGTGTCGAGGAAGGGGATAGCGAAGCGGCACATTGCGGAGGTCGGTATGCCCGGGGTATGCGGTGTCGTACTGTCGTTCTTTCTCAGGAGGGACCGTGCCTGTTTGCATGGTGAAGAATATGGGCCGGAGGGGAAGATATCGAAAAAGGGAGGGGGGAGGGAGGGAGGGAGGGAGGTTGCCCCTGTTTGCCGTACGGTACGCCCCGTTGTATGTTTGTCTGTTTGTCGATGTGGGCAAAGGAATGTGGGGGCACCCATGCGCAACCCCTTCCTCCCACCCCCACCTCCCGGTCCACCCCGGGGGGAAAGACGAACCACCCCGGGGGGGGGCCCAACCGAATGCGGTGTTTAGAGGGTGCGAGCTCAAAGCGACTCCCCCCGCGCCCTTCTTGGACTCCCTTCTCCTGGCTTATATGGTTGTGCGTATGTATGTTTGTTTGTTTGTTTGTTTGTTTGTTTGTGGGGGCCCCCGCGCAGGCGTTCGGCGTACCGCGGGGAGGCGAGTTCGGCTCCGGCCAGCTCCAGGTGGGTCACCGGGCTCGTTCCCCGTGTCCTCCCCTGCATTCACCCCTGTCGCTATTCCCACCGCGACCCCCCGCAATGAGTTGGAGCACCGCACCGCCGCGTCGCTCCTCTGTCTTTTCCCTACCCTACCCCCTACCCTGCCCCCTACCCTACCCTGCCCCCTACCTGCCCCCTACCCTACCCTGCCCCCTGCCCTACCCTGCCCCCTACCCTGTCCCCTACCCCCTACCCCCCACACCCCCCGTCAGGACGTATTCCAGCAGGTGGTATCCCAGGCGCTGGGCGGCGCCCGGGTGCAGCCCCAGCCCGCGGAGGCCTTCTACGAGTCGGTTGCCGCGCTGCTCAGCCAGCAGTTCTTCGGTGAGGGCGAGGGATGTACGGCCAGCCGTACATCCGTACACCATTGTGTTGGCGTGGCGGTGACTCATAAGGCCGTGTAGGGCTGCACGTGGTGGTCTATCTGGCGGGGAGGTGTAGGGGAGGTGTAGGGGAGGGTGCTGCCTGCTGTTTGTCTATGAGCCCTCTATGTCTATGAGCCCTTGCCTTACCTCTCCCTGCAACTCTCCACCGAAGCGGTTTGCAGCCTGATGCCGATCCAGTCCAAATCCACATCCGGATCCAAATTCCAACCAAATCCAATTGTTTCCAACCCGATGAAGGTGTCATTCTGGAGGGCCAGGCAGCCGAGGGCCGCAGCACCGCCGGCGAGGTGGGCCGCGCCGGGAAGTCCGACAGCTACTACTTCTCCCCCGCCAAGACGGAGGAGCGCATCGGCAGGCTCGGTGAGCAGCTGGTTCGGAACAAGTTCTTCCGCATGATGCTGCGTGTGCTGCACGCGGCCATGCGGGGGCAGATGGCTCCCCGGCCGCAAACGCAAACGCATGGGAAGGCGGTGGAGGAGAAGGGGGAGCAGGAGGAGCTGGAAGACTGCGACGACGAGGCAGCGGCGGCGGCAGCGGCGGCGGCAGGGAAGCGTGATACCAAAGCGGATGGCCGCCGGGGGCGAGGCTCCAGTAGCAGCAGCAGTAGCAGCAGCAGTAGTAGCAGCAGTAGTAGCAGCAGTAGTAGCAGCAGTAGTAGCAGCAGTAGTAGCAGTAATAGTGATGATGAGGAAAGCGACGACGGTGGCAAGACGGAAGCCAAAGATGAGATCGAGGCCGACAGCAGCGATGGCGGCGATGAGCCGTACATCCGCGGCGCGGCGGACCGAGCGGCGCTACGGACGGCGTTGTTGCGGTCGCCGAAACGCCTGCGGGGGGGAAAGCGCGGGGGCAAGCACGTGACGGCAGCGGCTGCCGCCGCCGCTGCCGCCGAGACGGCCGGGCTGTGTGGCCTGGTGGATGCGTTCCAGCGTGTGGAGGCGGCCCTGGCGGCTGTTCGGCCCCCCGCGGGGTGGACCTCCCAGGCGCTGTCGCGTCTGCGGGAGAGGCTGCTGGGGCCGGGGGGGGAGGGGGGTGGCGGAGCCGCCAACGCTGGCGGCGGCGACGGCAGCGGCGGCGGCGGGGCCAACCCCTTTCGCGGCTGGGCTTCCGGCCATGAAAAGTGGGTGGTGGCGCGGAGGAGCCCCAGCTTCGACTTTTTTAATCCGCATCCAACTTCCCGCGTGCCTCCTCCCCTCGGCGTGTGTGTGGGGGGGGTATACGCCTTGTATGTGTGTGTGTGTGTGTGTCGGCATGTAGATCTGTGTCAACCCTGGCTCTCTCGGACAGGTGCCGTCTCTTGTCGCCATGTCTCTGGCAGCACCGCATCCTGCCGCTTCCATGCTGGACCCGCGCGGAGGGGGCCCGAAGGAGGCGGCAAGACGAGCGGCAAGCACTTGCCGGGCTGCTGGCCACCTGTGCCGCTGGTCCCCCCTCCGTAGCTCCTACCGTGGATAGGTCACGAGGCTTATGCAGCTGTGTACGTAATGGTGGCTCCTAACGTCCCACATGTGTGTGTGTGGGTTACTGTGCACTAGTGGATGCGAGCTGCCAAGCACGCATTGACACGCAATGGAGATCGGGAGCCATTGCGCTCCTCCTCACCCTCCTCCACCTCCTCCCTCCTCTCAACCGCCACGTCACGCCCGTTGCTCCACACCGCGCAGGCTGCAAGCCCTGGCTACCTTCGTCGGCTTCCTGCTGCAAAGGAAACAGCAGCAGGAGCGGCAGCAGCAGCCACTGCCGACAGCTTCAGCCGCCCCAACTGCCGCCGCTACCGCGACAGCAGCAGCAACAACAGCAGCGCCGCTGCCGCCACAGCAGCAGCCGCAGCCGGCAGTGCGCCTCCCCACCGCCCTGGCCGCCCTCCGCTCGGCGGTTCTGGAGCTACGAGGAGGCTGTTCGCTCCTCTCCCTGGCCCAGCTGGAGCGCCGCGTTGCCGAGCGATTGGCGCGACAGCTACAACTACAGCTCGTTTTGCCGTCTATAGCCGCGGCGGAAGGCACCAAGATGAGTGCTGCAGCCTCCGCCTCCGCCGCCCATGCCGCCGCTGCCTCCGCCTCCGCGGTGTCATGCGTGTATGTTTCCTCGGGCCTGGGCTGTTCGCTGTTGTCCGCGCTCGAGGTGTCCGGGGACTTGGGGCTCGTGACGGCCTTGGCTGGGGATGAGGACGGCCCGGCTCGGGCGCCGCTGCACCAGGTGTGCGAGTGTGCGTGTGTATGTTTGTATGTATGTTTGTGTGTATGTTCGTGTGTATGTTTGTGTGTATGTTTGTGTGTATGTTTGTGTGTATGTTTGTATGTTTGTGTATGTTTGTGTGTATGTTTGTGTGTATGTTTGTGTGTATATATGTGTGAAGGTTACAAGTATCTGTCCGGGCCTGACGACACTGGCCACAGAGGGGCTGCTGCCCAGCCCCAAGGGGAAGACTGCCTAAGCTCTCTCCCGCGGATGGGAGAGGGGCGCGAGGGGGGCCTCTTAAACCCCCCTCCTAATCATGTCGTACGCCCGCACGGTCTCACGAGTCAAGGCTCCGTCACGCGAGTTTGCGTTCACTGAGCCTGAAACACGAAACAAGACTCCTCTCCAGCCTCGGCCTGATCCGGCTCTTTGGGTGGGGGTTCACTAGGACCGAGGAAACCCGGAAACCCAGTACATACCCGACCCCTTCCTACTACGGCACGGGGCCCTATTAGAAAGTAGGCCCCCAATCTCTCAGGGCCCCAATCTCCGTTGCGGGGGAGCCGGCAGGGTCCAAGAAACTCGCGCTAGCCACCTATCGTTAGCGCACGCGACGGGGGCCGGGCACGGACTAGGCGAGCAGCTATCAGTTCACCGTCGGGGCTAGGGATGCCTCGAGGCAGCAGCACACCGGCACAACTCACACACGGGGGGGGAGGCATCCTCACTACCCGCCATCTGCCTGCGAGGGACCGTCCTTGAGAACACCATTCAGCTGAGGGCGGAAGGCGGAGGGTTGAGGGCGGAGGGTTGAAGGAAACGTGTTTTGCGATTCTTTGTGTGTCTGTGTCTGTGTGTCTGTGTGTGTGTCTATGTGTGTCCTCAGGTTCTGGAGCTGGTTGCGGAGGTGCTTCGGAGCTGCAGACTGGCGGGCGCGACCATTGACTGCACTGGCACTCACGATGACGATGACGATGACGTTGAACGGGAGGGTGCTGGCGCAGCCGCCCCTGTCGTCGCCACCGCCACCACGGAGAGCGGCTGCCCCGAAGGCCGTGAAGGAGGAGGTTTGATTGCCGCCGTCGTGTCGCGCGCGCTGTGCTGCCACTACGGAGTGCACCGCGTCGAATGTCTGGGACATGGACCCGTGGGTCGCTTGTTGGCGCTGGCGTCGCGCGGCCGCGCCACGCCGCCGCTGGGCTGGCACTCCGCTGTCGCACTGGCGCCCGCGGCGCTCTCCTCCTCCTCCTCCTCCTCCTCCTCTTACCGCTTCTGGACCTCCTCCTCAAACGCCGACGCAGCCGCTGCACCCTGCATCCCCGAGGCGACGGTGGCGGCCGCCGCCGTCACATCATCCGCGACGGCCGTTGGCGCTCTGGGCTGTGTGGGCCGGGTTGCGGCCCTGGCCGCCCTCCGTGCCGCTCCGGAGCTGAGTGACCTGCGACTGGTGACGCAGTGGAGTTCGCTGTTCGAGTCGGAGCTGGGGCCACTTGAGGAGTTCTTGCGGGCGGAGGGGGCCGCTGCGGCAGGTGTGTATGTGCCGTACCGGTATGCGTACCCGTGGTAACAACCCCTCCCCGCCCCTCCCCCCGATAGAGGGACCCCGGGGCCACCCTTTTGTGGTTGTTCCCTTCTTTGTCTGAGGAGCCTAAAACCCTAAAACCCTTACCTAAACCCCATGAGGAGCAGGAGGACCAACCACCGGCCTCCATGTAATTGAGGGGGAGCACAGAGCTGCGCCGCCCTGCCCCTGAGCCGGCGCCCCTCTCCCCTCTCCTCTTCCCTCTCCTCTCCCGTTCCCTCTCCTCTCCGTTGACAGTCTGTTTCCCGGACTGTATGGAGTTGTCCAGCCCGTTGCTCGTCCCGTTTCATGTCGTCCAATTCAATCTCAGGGATGGCGGTTCTGGAGCTGCCGCTGCCGCCCGCTGGAGGCCCCTCCCTGGAGTTGGCGGCGGGAGGGCGCCTGATTAAGCTACCTCACGCGGCCACGCCGGCGGATGTGATGGTACGAGCAGCGGTGGGGGATGCGAGGGGCGTGGCGGCGGCGTTGCTGTCCGCGGTGGCGGCGGCGGGGGGCCTGGCGGGCTGCCCCACCGTGCTCCTCTTCCGCCACCTTGGGGAGGCGCTGGCGGACTTGGCGCGTCAGGCGGCTGGCAGGTGTGTATGTGGTGGGGGGTTTGTGGGGGAGAGAGAGGGGTGGGGAAATGCTCGGCGTGACGTGGCGAGTCCGGAGGCGGCTGCGGCCGCAGAGCCTCTCTTCCGGGGCTGCATGAGGTGTATGTATGTCCCCCGTCTCGATTAGTCTCCAAAGCCCTGATCGTTTGTTGTTCTGGTCTTCATTTATTCCCTCACATCATCCCATCCTCCGTCTATATTTTTCCTCTGGTGGAGCTGCACTCATGTACGACAGGGCTGAGGTGGCGGGTGATGGCGGGCCGATCCTGGCGCGACCTGCAGCTCCCGGAGGTGGCGGCTCCGACGGCGCCGCCAGGACGGCGTCGGCGTCAACGGCAGTGAGGTGTACGGCAGTGGTCCCTGAATGTACGTTCGACTTTGATGACGACCCAGGTAACGCCGCCGCCTGCCGCTTCGTACTGTCCGTACTTCCACACCTACCTCTGCCGCTGCTCGCCCCGTTGGCCGAGACCGTGCTACTGCCGGCCCTGGCGGCGGCGCTAGACAGCTACAGCGCCGACTCGCGCGGTTGCAACAACTTCGCGCAAGGGGGTGTTCCGGCAGTAGCAGCAGCAGCAACAGCAGCAGCAGCAGCTGAAAGCGCTGGTGCGGTCGTGGACTGCGGAATGATGGTGGGTCCAACGCTGCATGTCGCCTTACTTCGGCAGGTGGTGGCGGTGGGGCCGCCGCAGCACTTGGCGGCAGTGGCGCGCAGCTGTTTGCACCACCTGGGATTCTGCATGGGTGTAGAGGCGTGGCAGGAGGACTGGCGGCGGCTGTACGGCGGAGGGGCTGACGGCGGCGGCGGGGATGGCGACGACGAGGGCGGCGGCGCCGTCGCGGCGGCGGCGGCAGCGGCAGCGGTAGAGGGTGACGGCGCCAGGGGTTGGGAGTTCGAGACAGCGGCGGGCGTGGAAGACATGGATGTGGATGTACGGCAAGGCGCGGAGCATGATCACCATCAGCAGCAGCAGCAGCAGCAGCAGCAGTACGACCATAATCTGTCGTCTTCTGCCGCTGCTGCTGCCGCCGGCGATACCTCGGGCAATGGCTGGGGCGACATCCGCTCCTCTGCTACTGCGGTCACAACGGGGGGGAGCACCGCAATAACCTCTGCCGGTTTTGCTGCTGGTGGTGGTGGTGGTGGTGCTGCTGCTGCTGCTGGTGGTGGTGGTGAACCGATATCTCAGGAGGAGGAGAAGGTGGTGGAGGTGGCGGTCCCCATGACACTGGAGGAGTGCAGGTGAGAAAGTGGGGTGTGTATGTGCGCGTGTGCGCGCGCGTGTGTGTGTGTGTGTGTGTGTGTGCGCGTGTGTGTGTGCGTGTGTGTGTGTTTCTAAGGGGGGGACGTGAAGCGCCGTGGATGAAGGAAGTGGTATCTCCACGGCCCTACAGCTCCGCAAAGTCCCCCCTTCCCCCCGCCATTACCCGCCAATACTTGTGCTCCGCCCCACTGCCCGCCCGCCCTTTCTCCCAACCCCCCCTCAGGCGCTTCGTGGAGTCCATCCGGCGCGAGGAGTTCGGTGAGGGGTTGGAGCTGGGGGGTGAGGCGGCGGCGCTCAGCGGGCGGCTGGCTGCCCGCACGGGTCGGGCGCTGCAGCGGCTGGCGGCGGAGCTGTACTCCGCGGACAGCCACTTCGTAATGGAGCTGGTGCAGGTGGTCGTTAGGGGGGGGGGAGGGGGGCTTTTGGAAAGGGGAGGGAGAGGGGAAGGAGGGAGGGGAAAGGCGAGAGGAGGGAGGGTGTTTAAGGGGGGGAAAACCGTGTGTGTATTGGTTGGCCGCGTGTATCTTATATGCAGGTGGTCTCAGTGCGCGCTGCGCCTGCGATTCTGACGCGGTATGTCCCCCCTACAGCTTTATGGTCCGTACAGGCCCCTTGTGCCCAACCTGGTTGCTTTTTTGCCGTTACTTGCTACAGCTGCCGCTGCTGGCGTTGTTGCTACTGCCGTCACACTCCGTGCCTTGCCGTACATTCCTTCAGAACGCGGACGACAACTCCTACCCTGCCGGAGTGACCCCCTGCCTGGAGTTCGTGTTGCAGCGGGACGTCATCACCGCCGCCAACAACGAGGTGGGGTTCTCCCCCGCCAACCTGCGGGCACTGTGCGACGCGGGGGCCTCCACCAAGTCGCGAGTGACAGGTGCGCGTGTGAAAAGGGGGGAAGGGGGGGTGGCCGAGTAGTTGCAGTAGCTGGTAGGGGCACTGCCGTGGTGGGGGGTTGGATGGAAGATATCGTCTGTAGATGATCAGCAGGGAATCTCAACGGCCATATCAACAAACGATGTTCAGGTGTGTATGTGTGTTTGCCCCCTTCCCCCCTCCCTCACACACACACCCCAACCCCCAACCCTATCTCATTCCCTCTGCGCCTTATATATCGCCCAACACGCATAGCAGCTATTCCGCCCAGCTCCCCTTCGCCGCTTTCCAGAAGGGCGGAAGGGCCTGCCCGGTCCGGTGTTCAATCTAGGGCGTGTCTGTGTCTGTGTGTGTCTGTGTGTTTGTGTGAGAGTGAGTGTGTATGCCCAGTCGCATTCACCCGACATATACCCGACACGGCCTAACCCGGACACACCACCGGGAGCTCCTTCCGCGGCTTTGATTGATACACACAGACACACAGACACACAGACACACACTCACACACTCACACACTCACACACTCACACACTCACACACTCACACACTCACACACTCACACACTCACACACTCACACACTCACACACTCACACACTCACACACTCACACACTCACACACTCACACATACAGACATACAGACATACAGACACACAGGCACACAGACACACACACAGACAGGCAGACAGGCAGACAGACAGACAGGCACACACAGACATACAGACACACAGACAGACATACCACCTAATCACCGTTCGCTACTGCAGCACCACTCCTTGTAAAATCCGAACACATCGGACTGAACACGTAGCATGCTTCAGTACCAAGGTATTCTCCCATGTACCGCCGTCGTCGTATTTCCCTCATCGCTGCACTCAGGAGATCACACACGCACATACATACATACATACATACATACATACATACATACATACATACATACATACATACATACAAAAAATCTAAGTCATACATACATACATACATACATACATACATACACAAACGCGCACTCACACATGTCTGTGTGATGACGTCATGCTCGTACAGGCTACATCGGTCAGAAGGGAATCGGTTTCAAAAGCGTCTTCCGCGTCAGCTCCGCTCCGCAGGTGCGTGCGTGTCCGTGTGTCTGTCTGTCTGTCTGTCTGTCTGTCTATATGTTTATGTTATATGGGGGCCTGCTTGGGTGATGAGATGCAAATGTGTGTTCATCCATGTTACGATTCTTTACGTTGTCCTCCCCTAAGTTGTGAATGTGGGGTGGGGCGGGTGGCTTGCCGTCGAAAAACTGTAAGCAGACGCAGTATAACAGACATAACAGCGGGATCGGCAGAGGGGTAGCGGGGGCAAGAGAACGGGTGTGGGGCCGGGGAAAGCAGCTAGGTAGCCAGGCAACCAGGCACATGAGCGCGGAGAGGAGTGGGTTTGGGTTTGGGTGTGAGCACGTAACGTGTGGGTACGGCAGCAGCGGGTGTACGGGCGTGTGCCGTAATATCCGTAAAGCAGCCACTTGTGATGGTCGAGCTCTTGAGGTGCAGGTTCCGACCCGCCATTACCGTCTTCCTTCTCTCCCCTCCTCTTCCCCCTCAACACGCGCGTCTTCACCTTCACCTTCACCTTCACCTTCAGTCTTATTCTTTCACCTTTTACCTTTCATCCTTCACCTATTACCTTTCTCCTTTATTTTCTTCCGCTCTTGAATTGTGATCTTCCCCTTATACTTCTTATTGTTGTGCTCTTCTAACCTCTTCCCTTCTTCTGGCTTCCCTTGGTCTATCTGGCTTTTTCTGAATTGTTAGCTCCCTTTCTATCCTGTTTTCTTCCGTGTCTTTCCATATCATTTTTCTTCTTTTCTATCTTATCTCTTGTTTTATTTATGTTTTCCATGTAAACTTCTTTGATATTACACTTTCTGTTTTTACTTTTATCTTTACTCTAATTCTCTCTCTCTTTATCCTTTTTATCTTTATATATTTACTTGCAACCAAGATTTCTTTAGGTTTGAGGGAGATTGAAAAGGCTTCTAGATCTGCGTTCTTCAGCATAAGGGGAGGATGTCAAGGCAAAGGGCAGGCCCCCTCTTTTTTATTTACTCGAAATTGTGGGTTCCGAAGGGTGGGGCCGATTTCTTGAGGATAGCGGTCTAAATTACCTCGGCCGTTCGCCCTTAGACTTCGCTGCCGACGTGAGAAAAATCGCTCGGAGCGAGCCTATGGTGAGCTTCGCCGGGGGTTAGCTAGATATTGTGTCCGGTGCGGGTAAATGGACCAGAGGTTGGCGATGCAGTCGATACATTCGGAGAATTCTGCACCTTATATTGCCTGGATCTTCGGACATCAGACAAAAGCCGAGCGGGGCTTGCATGCCAGAGTCGCACAGATCCCTCTCTCAGAGGATGTTGTCAAGTTTACAGATGCAACGGCATCGCAAACACCCTCGATCCGCCGCCGGCCATGGCGCCGCAGCGCCGTCGACCTCCGCCGCTGAGATCAGTTCTTTCCGCTACGGTACGGCAATTGTGCTTCCGCTGCGGCACGACATGTCCGGAGGAGCAACGGCGGCGGTTGCGGGGCGGCCACCGCCGGGAGCTGCTGACGGCGGCGGCGGCCTCGGCGAGCGCGGTGCGGTGCTTCGTCGCCGTTTCGCGGACCTGTCTCCGACCCTGCTGCTTTTCCTGCAGCGGTTGCAGCGCATTGTCGTGCGTGATGAGGTGGCAGCGGCGGCGCCGGCGGCGGCTGAATTGCCCGCCGGTGGCGGCATCCCCGTCGCCGGCGTTGTAGACCTCCCTGGAGCCGGTCCCGCCGGTCCGCTACAGCAGCAGCAGCGGCGGCGGCGGCATGCAGGCGGCGGCGGAGGCGCCGTTCGCGTTGTGGAGATGGAGCGACGTCAGGTGGTGGGACGACCGCATCTGGTACAGCTGCTAGTCCGTACAACCACCACAACTACCACAACTACCGCAACCTCCTTCACTAGCAGTGCCGTACCTGCCCCAGCTGCAGCCGGTGTCCTAGGGGTGGGCAATGGCGTCGCCGGCAGTAGCACCACACCCAGCGCTGGTGGCACCACGGCCAGGAGCAGCAGCAGCAACAGCAGTAGCAGCAGTAGCAGCACCGCCATGACGACGTAAGTGCATCTGGTTCTGGAGCCATGATGGTCCGGTGATCAGGTGGTCCTTCAGACAGCAACTTTTAGCTGTTTCCCTGCTCTCGTCCCGCACCTCCGTACAGGGGGGCATGCGGTCGCGGCCCAGCACTCACACTCACACTCACACTCACACTCACACTCACACTCACACTCACACTCACACTCACACGCGCACTGACATGCGCACTCGCACGGTCATATCCGCCCCCTGCCTGCGAACAGGACCGTTGCCGTAGTTGCCCTTGCAGTGAGCCCTCTGATCCACTCCTCTGCCCTCTCTGCG